TGTACTGTTTCCTAAGGGCCAGCAGCTGTCAGCAGCCCTATCATGTTTCACAAACAACTCGAAGTAATGTGTTTTCCCAAAAGTGCTCTAAGCCATAACACACACAGCACAGAAGAATTATGTCAGGAAGACATATTATGTTAGCCAGATGGTTCTATTTTCTAGTCTTATTTTCGCAAAGGAGCCAACCAAGAAAAGGGACCTTTACTCAGTGTCTCCATAGGTGGACTTTTTTAAGAAGGAAAACCAGCCCAGGCACACAGCCACTCCACCGAAACAGAGCTGGCTGCAGTAGAGCCAGAGTGGGACGGCTAGGGCGTCAAGGGGAAGGCGAACCCGGGAGAGGAAGCGTGAGGGGAAGGCGGGCTCCAACCGCTCCCATGCACACAGGCTGGCCCAGGGTGGGACAGTGATGGAGAAGCACCTCTAGGGGGCTGGGGGTGAGCGGCGAGCAGAGGCCGGCAGCGCCCCCCACTCACGCCTGCGAGCACCGTGTGAGCCAGCGGCCTCGGGGGCGGAGGGACCCAACCCACGTGGCCGGAAGTCAGACGGGAAGTCAGTGGACACCCCACCCCACCCCACCCCACACAGCATAGCACACCGCACCCATACCTCACCCCACCCCAGAGGCCAGCAGGGCGGGAGGGGGAGGCTGCCCCGCACCCCCACCACACTGCGCATGCTCCCTTGTCACCAAGGCTGACCTCACCCTGCAGTCCCCGCCACGTGGTCACCTGGTCACCTGGTCACGCTCCTTCCCACAGCCCGGGACACCCTGTCAGCCCGCACCGCTCACCCCGCACCCCGGCCCCGCTCGCCCCGCACCCCGGCCCCGCACCCCGGCCCCGCTCACCCCGCACCCCGGCCCCGCTCACCCCGGCCCCGCTCGCCCCGCACCCCGGCCCCGCTCACCCCGGCCCCGCTCGCCCCGGCCCCGCTCGCCCCGGCCCCGCTCGCCCCGCACCGCTCGCTCCGCACCGCTCGCCCCGCACCGCTCGCCCCGGCCCCGCTCACCCCGCACCGCTCACCCCGGCCCCGCACCGCTCACCCCGCACCCCGGCCCCGCTCACCCCGCACCGCTCACCCCGCTCACCCCGGCCCCGCTCACCCCGCCCCGCTCGCCCCGCACCCCGGCCCCGCTCACCCCGTTCACCCCGGCCCCGCTCACCCCGGCCCCGCTCGCCCCGCACCGCTCACCCCGCACCCCCGGCCCCGCTCGCCCCGCACCCCGGCCCCGCTCGCCCCGCACCCCGGCCCCGCTCGCCCCGGCCCCGCTCGCCCCGGCCCCGCTCGCCCCGCACCGCTCGCCCCGGCCCCGCTCGCCCCGGCCCCGCTCGCCCCGGCCCCGCACCGCTCACCCCGCCCCGCTGCGGCCTCCGCGGCTCCGGGCGTCGAGTGTGAGCAGCGCGCTCCTCCTCAGCCTCCCCGGCTCCCAACGGAAAGCGGGAACCGCTCGTCCAATCAGCGCCGCGCAGCCAGCCAGGCCACGCCCCTCGCCCTCCACAGACACACTAGCCTGGCGCGCAGCCGCACTCGCCCGTGTTTCTGGGAAGACCCCATTTCCACTGACCCCTGCCCTGTCCTCAGCAGGAAGCCCGCTGGCCGGCGGCCGGAAGTGACGGAAGCAGGGTCTGTGGCGCTGCTTTCCTATCCCAGGTCTCCCTCACCGGAGCCGCTGCGCTGCAGGGCCCCGCCGCCAGGGGGCGCCGTGACCACGTCCCACCTGGGGAGAAAGCACGGGCCGTTCCAGGGCAGAACCTGCAGGCCATGGAGGGTCCACCCCACCCCCTCAGTGTAGCTGCCCCATGCCCCTGTGTTCTTCCCAAAGGGACGGTGCTAGGACCCGAAATGGATGGTGGCCCATTTACACAAGTTGCACGGCCATGCCCGGCGCTGCCGGCTTTGCTCACCTGTGAAATCCTGCTTCATAGTGGAAGCTCTACAGCTAGCTCCGCACGAGGAAGAGTGAAAAGTGCACGCAAACAAATCAGAATTTACATGGTATTTTCAGTAACTTCTTGATTTCCTATCTAAAAAGCAACATTGTTTTATATATATATATAAAAAATGTCCGGGCGAGGGTGCAGCTCAGCCGTGCTTAGTGTGCTGCAGACCCAAGTTTCACTGGTGTTTTCTTAACTTTTCCTGGGGGATGAGATAGAATGTCTATTTGCCCCAGACAGGCCTCCAATAACAGACCAAAGGCAGAGTTCCACCCACGCCTAGCTTAGCGGAGCTTGCTAGGTTTACTTACAGGATGCAGGTGACCTCGAAGCCGCAGTTTCACCGAATAGCGTAAGCCTAGCACGGACGGCTAATGACTTCTCCGTAGTTCTCGGGGCACACTTCTCGGGGCAACCCTCCACTCCTTAAACAATCCAGCACCACCCAAGCCCACGAGACCACGTGCAATTAGAGCAGAATCACATACAGCTGGAGAGGGGCATGCAAAGGGAGTGGCTGGAATCTCAGGTGAGGGCCCAGTGATCCACCCTACCCAATTCTATGAAGCAATGCCAGTAGCCTAGCCGACAGGTCAGCCATTCTAGGGTCTGCCCAATAGTAACAGCTATCCTCATGAAGGCGAAAGCTGTTATGCTCTGAGGGCAGCCTTCCACGAGTGACCAGCATACATGATTCTGACTTAAATGTGCTTTGGAAAGTGCTTGGAAAATACACACACAAACACACACACACACATACACAATACAGAGAGAGAGAGAGCGTGAGCCTTGAGAGCCAAGCAGTTTACATCACACAGAATAAACTGCAGTGTTTCTAACTTTGGCTGAGCTCGAATCACAGACATCATTACAACTCTGTGCCTTGTTAAACTGCATTTTGAGCTAATTCATCACTGAGTCCAGGACCTCATGCATGCCAGAAAAGTGATCTACCATTGAGTTACACTTCCTTCCAGCCCTCTGCGCTTTCTGACCCAGGAGCTAGGTTGCCCAGGTATGCAACTCGAACTTGAGATCCTCCTGCCTCAGCTTCCCAAATGGCTGGAATTACAGGTCCAGGGAGACCCTGATTTTAAAAAAAAAATATTAGTCAACACCTGCAGTTGACAGGCTTTTTTTTGGGGGGGTTTATTCTGGACATTTAGCTTCCAATGCGTTTTGAATTAGTTACAACATATACAAAACGTAAGGTCAGAGAGTCAGCCTCATGACCTGAGACTTGCATCATTATTTTCACACTCCGCTTTCTTGTAACAGACTTACCATCTTCCATGGTGCAATCTAGTGGTTTCCCAACTAGCAGCTTGTTTAGCTGAGACACAGATGTGTCTTTAAACAGTAAAATGAAGGAAGAAAGTATATTACTCCTGTCCCAGGGTTTTGGTCAACTCAACGCAAACCTAGATATAGCTGGGAAGAGGGAATCCTACTTGAGAAAATGCCTTGGTAAGATTGTCCTGTAGACAAGTCTTCCGGGTGTTGTCTTAACTAACAATTGTTGCGGGAGTGCCTAGCTCAAAGGGCTGCGCCACCCCAGAACAGATGGTCCTGGGGGTGGGGGTGTAAGGAAGTTGGTTCCGCAAAGCGTGGGGAGCAAGCCAGTAGCTTCAGTTTCTGCCTGAATTCCTGCCCTGACTTCCTTCAGTGATGGACATCACAAGGCAGGAGTCTAAGAGGGACCACCCCTCTCCCTCCTGCACCATCTTTTGGTCACGGTGTTTTATTGAAGTAATAGAAAAGTAAGGAAACTCGTTTACTCTCACCTGAATTCTGAATTGGTTTTTACTTGAAGGTTTCAGAAAGAAAACCTTATCAGTCATTATCAAAATTTGGTTTCTGAACACATGTTTTCTGCAGCACCTCTGGCCTTGGTGTGTTATTCAACCTACGAGTTGTACCCCCTAACCCTTTTCCAGTAAATTTAACAAGCTCTTCTTGGAAACAGCCTGTGGGCCATCTCTCCTGGCAGAAAGGGCATGGAGCTGGTTGAATGCTGAATCTGAGGCAGGCTGGCTGTGGGAGAACAGTTGAAATTCACCTCTGAGCCTTTCAGCTAAGAAAACGGGGGTTATTAATTACAAACACACCAAGGAATCTACCATCTTGTCAAAGCAAATAAGATCACGGCACGCTGAATGCCAGTCTTCTTACTCCTTCATGAATGCAAGAGTTTATACTTGGCTGAAATTCCAGGGCAGGTGGGGGTCCACAGGCGTCACAGGGGAATGTAAGGCAAGTGCAATTATCACAGCCCTTGAACTCTGGCCTATAGGGAAAGATGCTTCCGTTTTATAAACACACACTGCTGTACAGGACTAGCCTCCAAGCCAAGCGGTTGCTATCTTCATGAGTTTGGCCTGCTTGCCAAAATTCACCACCGCTGGGTTTGTTGACTGTGGCCCTTCCTTCTTGGGAGGGGGAGGGGCAGTGAGGGTGTTGGGATCCTTGCCTGAGCGCAGCCAGCCACCCCTCCCAACAAGCTGTATGCAATTCTGCCCAAATTGCAGTGGCCTCTGAGTTTCTCCAAAGGGCTAGAGCGGTAGTTCTTGACCCCACAGAGGTCTCGGCTTATACCCTGCATATCATATATTTTCATTGTGATGCGAGGAACTGTGTTACGGGGGTCCAAGCATTAGGAAGGATGAGAACCACTGGGCTAGAGGGAAAGGGTGGGGAGGGATTATGGGAGGGCACTCTACCACACAGCTTGGGGTTATCTTCAACACTGCTGTGTGGCCATCACCCAGTATGGCTACCTTAAGGTCATCCTTGGTCCTGCCATAGCCCCTGACCTATTGCTCCAAAACATGCCCAGTAAACTCACTGGCTCCCCAGAGTGAACTCTGATAAAACTGGACCTTGCCTTTTTATTGAGGTAGGAGGAGGGCTGGACTTCAAGTCTCCCTAGGCTAGGTATCTTAGCAACAGACATACAAGTCTGCTGTGGATGCAGGAGTCTGTCCTGAGAGGGCCCGGTCATTGTCCATGTCCCAAGACTTTGTCTTCCACAGGACACACACCAGCTTAACAAAGGGACGTTTTTGCACGTGTACTTTAATATTTAGGCTTGAGTAAAATAATTTTAAGTGACAGGCAATTAAGTACATTTGGGGACACAACCCAACAAGTGCAGTGCACACAATTTTAACATCCCAATAGTCTAAGTGTGTCTTAGGGTCAGAAAGTTCACCCAGAATTGTCTTACAGCTTTTATTATCATTTTTCAACCAGGCAAAATTGTCATTAAGCTGTAGATTTCAAATTGTTGGTATGTCATAAAAGGCACCTTAAGGTTCTCTCAATTTTGATGATATACCATTAACTTTTCTGAAACTAGACCCTTGGACAAAGGATTGGCTTCCCCACAGACTGAAAAATTCTCTACGTGCTTTGAAGCACCCGTACTCCAAGCAGACCTAACTTTTACCTGAAGAGTCTGGACCATTATCTTACATTCTGGACAGGGGTCAGGGATAGAGCTGCCATGACCCCTGGGGTTTGCTGACCCGTGGGACAGTCCAGTTCGTTAAGCAGCAGGAAACGCCTCTGGAGACTTCTCACTCTTGAGAGTCAATGTAGTGCGACCAAAGGCTGTGTCGTTTTATCGTGATGCTTTAAATCATCAAAACTTGTCTTAGTCCGGAAGGTGCCAGAGAAAGCCAACACCGTTCTTGGAATTTTAAAAGGCAGAAGTTTCAAGTATCAAGACCAAGCAGGTTAATGGGTAAGATGTGTCTTTTCCATGCAGATTTAACAAACATCAACACTCAAAAACTAACGTGACAGGTGTCACCAAGTCCATCACAGGACTTCCCAGGCTCAAGAGTCACACCTGGGAGGTCTCGCCCGTCTCAATTTGCTTTGCCTCGGTCCTAGCACCTGCTATCAGAGAGACCACAGCTCAGCACCAAAGGGATGCCAGCCCCTCCATGAGGGATTGACACAGCAGGGACACCCTGCAAGGGACAGTGAGTGGTCTGGACTAAGTGGGAGGTTTTGTTTGTTGTTTTGTTTTAAAAAGCATTTAACATTTTAAAAGTGGGGGGAGGCATAAAAATGTTAGCAACTTTCCTAACTAAAGGCACAAAGAATATAGTGGCAGTTAGTTGTGAAGCCTGACATAACAGTACAATTTAAAACCCATTAGGTATATAAAATCTGTGAATTGTTTTTCCTCCAGTGCCCTGGCTGTTTCTGAAAACACCATCCAGGTTCACCGGAAAGCTGACTTCCAAAATATGAAGGCTGGAATCTTCCCATACTTGGAAATAAAAAAAAAAAATAAATAAAAGTCATCTCTTTCGTGGAAAAAGGTCACTGGGAAGGGCGCTACTGCCTGGATGCCTGTGGCCACTTGAAAACGGAAATAACTTAAGGCAAGATCTTTTCAAAGGTTCGGGTAGTTCCAAACCTAAACAGAATATGGCCTGTTAATGCGCAGACCCGGTACCAGACCAGGGGAAGACAAACGCACGGACAGGTAGTCCCCCAAAGAACGCACTGTTTGGGCTAAATTTCAGGGTTGTTGATGTGGAGGCGTAGCCTAACCAGGGCAGCCTCGAAGCCCAGAAAGGGTTGTGTGATGACAGATGAGCGTTACATTTCTTGACTATTAATAGTTTCCACTGTTGGAAGGCTCCAAACATTGGCAAGCAAACATGGTCTCACATTTTTACGGACCGAGGGCAGAAATGCCTCGAGGGACCTAGTGCAAGCCACACTGTGGGTGCAGAGACACAACAGGCCTTCTGTAAGCTTACTGAACCTAGAGTAGCCCTGAGCAGGCATCCACGATGGGTGGAAGGCTAACTTCACAATAATAAATAACAGCTACTTGTGTTTAGACACACCGAAGTGACATGCAAAAGGGCCTCCCTGCAAAACACCGACCGGGGTCCTCCTGTAATCAAGGACCACAACCCCATGCGGCTGCCCTCCCACACTCTACCCCCAAATGCACCACACAGGCTCCAGATCCTGTGGCCACCAAACTCTCCCTACAATTCACTAGAAGGCAGGCCAGGCCACTGCTGCAGGGCTGCACAGCCAGACTACCAGGGAGGAAGAGTGGAGAAGTGGCTGGCGGTACTTCTGCTGAGATGGGAGCTCCAGGTTCGCAGCCAGCGCCGCTCAGATGAAGTGGATCCAGCTCTCTTCGCACTCCCCGCGTGGCATGTGCAGGGCATGGCGGCGACAAGTGAGGCAATAGTCACGGCCATCGTTGTTGTCCCAGTACTCAGCACCGGCCACACGGTAGCGCAGTGCGAAGAGTACTTGGGAGCCGAGCTCCAGCAGGAAGGGGGGCACTGGAAAGCCGAAGGCGAAGATGTCTTCGGCCCCCTCGGTGCCCGCAGACCCTCTCCAGCGAGCCACTGCCTCATGCGCACTGCGCCAGCCAGAGAAGGTATAGCGTACCGCCACCTGCTTCTCGAAGGCCACGTTGCGCACGCGCACTGTGCCGCTGATGCCCAGGTCCGAGCAGGTGACACGTTCCAGGCACACGAGCTGCCGTGCCAGGCGATCTCCGAAGCCGGGGACTTCGATGGGCGGCGAGAAGTCGGGAACCAGGCACTGCAACGTGAACTCCAGCTCCTGGCTGCTGCAACACAGGTCCGAGTTGATGGCCAGACGAGACAGCACGTGCAGCGGCACAGACGGGTCGTCCCCTGCGTTGAACACCTTGACCTGCGTCAGCTCCAGGCCCAAAGCGTCAGCGAAGCGCACACGGTGCTGCCGGTTGCAGCCGGTTCGGCACGCAGTGCCCTGGGCTCCTGCAGCCTTGGCACGGCGCTCCGGGGAGCTGGGCAGCGAGCGCGCGCGCCGCTGGATGATGGGCTGCAGCCGAGGGTCGCAGCCCGGGGGTCTGCAGGGTCGCCGATCCAGGTCGGAGAGGCAGCTGAGGCTCTGTGGCGCGGGTTTCCGTAACCCCGGGGTCGGGGGCGGCAGGGCAGAGCCAGGGCCTCTAGACATGGCCCAGCCGGGGGGCAGAGCCGGCGTCACAACCTAGTCCTTGGGCGTCAGGGCTGCACAACCTTCCGGAGCCCCCAGGCGCCGCACCCTGCGGAGAGGCTGCGTGCTCACGGCCTGGCTCGCTCGGGTCTCTGCGGCTGGAGATCTTGCAGGGCCGACCGCACTCTCCAGGACGGCTTCCCGGGGTGTTGAGTCCCGCGAGGCGGCGTCTGCTTCTCCTTGCTCTTCCTAGCGCTTACGGAAAGGCCGAGGAGCCCCACCGCTCCGAGACTCAGCTGCCGGCAACTTCTCCAGGCGCAACTTCCCGGCGCGCCCCCGGCGCGCCCCGCCCCTCGTGACGCCGCCCGCGGGCGCGTCCCGCTAGCCTGCCCCGCCGCCCCGCGTCGCCCCGCGCTGCTGGAACCCCGCTGTCCGCGGCAGCCCCGCCGTCCTCACCGCCCTGCCGCAGCGGCGCAGCTGCCACCCCCGGGATCCTCGTCACGTGCGCTCAGGCCGCGGAGCAGGTCTGGTCGGCTTCCTTGGTGCGTGTGCCCGCGCGCTGCACCCATCCATCAGCGATGGCTCCTGCAGCAGCTGAGGACGCGCTGGGTGCTGGCTGCGGGGCCTTGGGCTTGAGGAGTACCTGGTGGGGGCGGGACAGAGCCCAGCCTGGCTTAGCCTGGCGGCGAGCTGGCCCTGAGACTTTGGTAAGCGGCCAGCCAGCCAGCTCTGGCCACCTATCTCCAGCAACCCGGACCAGCGGCCAGACCTGGGAAAGCTTGCTGCTGAGGGAAGCATCAGGCCCACACCTCCCCACCATGCTGCGCCTCCCTATTGGCCAGGCTGCCAGTTCCCTAGGGGGGAGGTGAGGGACGTTGCTTCCGTTTGCCGGGCTTGCAGCCAGAGATGAAGACTGGGAACAGGGACTAATGCCTAAGATGGATTGTGCAGCTGCCCGAATCCAGCTTCTGGCTCTTGAGGAGCATTTTTGTAGCCAGAAAGTCTTGAGGTTTAGTTTTGCTGCTATTCAAGCTGAAACCATGGGTTTCCTGCCCCCTCCCCCATCCCTGTCTCTCTGTCCACTCCCCATCCCTCTCCCCTGCGTCCTGAGTGCACCTCAGGCTTTTATTTCTCCGAGGAACTTCACACACACACAACTCCCATGTGTCGAGTTTGTCAGGTAGATGAGGAGCCAGGATGGTACTGCACATTCTAAGGAGAGCGAGAGTGCGCCCAGGTCAGAGCAGACCTTCCTGCTTGGTTTCTTTTCCACTTTACAACAGGGGAAAACAAAAGCAAAAACAAAACAGGGTAAAGCCCAGGAACGTTTTCTGCATCTAAAAGGAATCGAGTCTGTTGATTATGGTGGGGTCATTAACCATAAGAAGCCACGATACGGGTTTTGTTATCTTCACATGCAAACCTAAAAGTTTTTCGTGATCGTGGTAGTTGAGGAAATCTCCCACGAGCCCGCCTCTTTTCCATTTGATGGCGGCTGGGGTATTATGGAGGGAAATACTCAGTACCCATGGCACGCTCTTCCAGCAGGGTCCTCAGAGTAACAGTAATCATGACTGCTGTGGTGTGGGCACCTGCTCCTCATAGTGAGACAGCATGTAACCCGTAATGGGGTTAATAAACACACTGATGGTGTTTTACATGTTCAAATGCATGTGCATATATGTATATACAGGTGCACACAGGAGCTGGGCGAGGGTGTCTACCAGGAACTGCAGTTTCAGGCCCCTGTGAGCTGCCCACATAGAGCCGAATGCTTCATCGTTGCCCACTGGGGAATCAGTAGTGTTCTGGGCTCTTGAGCCCATCTCTCCAGGCCCCCACTGATGACCTCTTAGTGGGTTTGTGTGACAGAGAAGTTAGAGGAATTCAGAGGTTTTATCTCTGGGATGAGGCCTTGTGTGCAGTCTTGGTATGTCTTAGACTGTCTTGTATTACTGGATGAGTGAATGAATGAATGGATTTGGGAGCTTTTGGGTAAAAGGTGAATTTAATTGGCATCATTTTCAAAGGGGTGTTGCAGGTGGGGCTTCAGGGTCCATTCACAGCACTCATAATACTGTGGTCTTATACTTAATAGACACCGTGTGTGTGTGGGGGGGGGGGTAAGTGTTCTCAACACCCACATGCTGGGCTGCTAGCTCACCACCACCTGTTACCGCTAGCTCCAGGGGGTCTGATGACCTCATCTAACCTCTGAGGCCATCCACTCTTGCCTGTGAACACCATCCCCTATCACACACATAAAACGTACAATAAACATTAAAAACTATCAAACTGTAAACATACAACAGTCCCCTCCCCTGTTTCGCCTTGTGTAGTCCAGGACTCTGAGCCACACAGCGTGGAGAGTTCTGTGCGGTAGAAAAAGGAGGGGCAGCAAAAACAGGGGAAGGCAGCCAGTTGCAGTCAGTACTCACTGTGGGTGCTCTGTGTTCCCAGTTCCTGTGGCTCCCAGTCCGCTCCAAAGATAAGGGGAATAAAGAAGCCACCTCCTCAGCAGTCTTCCTCTGGCAGCAGATTGAGCAAGACTGCTCTGAGCACTGCAGAGAAGGTGACGTAACTCTGAGAGGAAATCTTTCTTAGATCTGCCTTGGTACTCTCCTGTTACATGTTTCCAGTATGGGAGTGTGTGCGCGCGCGTGTGTGTGCGTGTGTGTGTGTGTGTGTGTGTGTGTGTGTGTGTGTGCGCACGCGCACGTATGTTCTGCTGCATTATTTGTATTATGTTTATAATATTTAAATTATTATTATTTTACAGACCATTAGAGAGGGTGTCAACTCACCAGATAGTTTCAGTCAAGTCCATTCTGGTGAACCAGTGAATTTATTGGGGGCCACTTCAAGGAGCATGGCTGACCAACAGTTCCACTCCAGCAGGAGGGACAGCTCAGAAAAGGGCATCGCTGGGGTCCCCACCCCAGTTAGCCTGCCACCTCCTAGGAGCTGTGCCAGGCCCGAGGCCACATGCTGTTGGAGAAGTGGGTACGGCATGGCGTAGGCAAGGGCAGGAGGGGAGGCCGGAGGGGCTCTCAAGTGCAGGTCTGATGAGTTTCCTCCCCAGCGCCCTCAGTGGGGAATGTGACAGGCCCTGCCCTTTGGGGGTGTCCTGTGAAGCTGATAGGCCTGACCCTGCAGACGTTTCCTGTGGATAGCCAGTTGTTCCAATTCAAGACAATAACAGTCAGGTTATGCCATGAGGGTAGGGGTGTGTGTGTGTGTATGTGTGTGCGCGCGTGTGCTGATGCACAGGCATGTGAGTTCACAGCACTTTCTGATCAATAATTATTTACTTTTTTTTCAGACGACCCATCAAACCTCAGACGATGAGCAGCCCTGTGACCTGTTCAAGAAAAGGAATAGGATGAGTGACTGGCATCAGAAAAACAGGTAACTAGTTTCCAGACCCTGTCTCCTCATGCAAAAGGCAAATCCTTCCGTTCTCCTCATTGGCCTTCATTAGCGCTTTGTCTGTAGCAGAAATTTCCTTAAACATCGGTAGTTGGCATTAGTTGCTCTCTCAGCTTCCTTCTGTGCCGAAGGGAGGGAGGCCACCAAAGACTGCTATGTGTGATTGCAGCTGGCCGTGAGTTTTTCTTAAGATTGTTTTTTATTTGTGTGAGTATTTTGCATGCGTGTACCTCTACACCTGGTACCTGGGAAGCCAGAGGAAGGTGTTAAATCCCTTGGAACTGGAATAGGAAGTGGCTCTGAGCTGCCCTATGGGTGTTGGGACTGAACCTGAGTCCTCTGCAAGAACAGCCAGTGCTCTAAATGGCCAAGCCCCCTCTCCAGTCTGCAGACAAAAATGTTAACAGTTGCAATCCCTAATGGCAGCCATTTCCTCATTTGCTTGCACTGGCCTGACATTGTCCGTGCGCGTGTGTGTTAAGCAAGTGTGATGCCTTTTCAAATAACTGCTGAATAATCTAGAGAACACTGCACAAACGAACCTCTGGCTTCCTACAAAGCACTTCTCATCCCCATCCAACTCTACCGCAAGGAAGTACTATTAACTTCAGTTAAATAATGTGTGGTTGGGAAACAGAAAGGAGGTGTTTCAACTCCCGTGAGACCCCCTCAGTTCCCAGGACTCCAGAAGTCGTTCAGTGGTCTGCTAGAACAGAGCAGGACAGGAGTTCCTTCTTCTCTCTTTTCCTGCTCTTCCCAAGACAGCATCCGTCCTGCCTTCTGTCTGCGCTGAATTAATTAGCCTGGTCCACGTAACTTTATTTCTATCCTTACCACATTTTATTTTGTGTGTGTGTGTGTGTGTGTGTGTGTGTGTGTGTGTGTGTGTATGTGTGTGTGTGTGTATGCCTGTGCATGTGTGGCACAGTACATGTGTGTTTAGAAAATAAGTTAAGGAGTTGATTCTCTCCTTCCACCACCTTGTGGGTCTTGGGATGAAACTCGGGTCCTTAGGGTTGGGGGCAAGTGCTTTTACCTTGTGAGGCAACTCAATGGCCCCTTTAGCCTTTTAAACACAACTGTTCTGGGCGCCTCCCATTTGAAAGATAGCAATAAACATTTGACCTCTGGTATAGGTTGAAATGAACAGTGAAAAGCTTACGTACTTCAGTTTGTAAGGACCAAAGTACATACATATGTTTACATATTTTATATACTTTACATACTTTAGTATGTAAATTTTTAGTTGTTTCAGAATCTCCCCAGGTTGGAGATTAAACAGTGAAATCCAGACTGGGTATGGCTGCTTACCTTACTTGCTGGGCAGGTATGAGGACAGGAGTCCCTCACAAACTCATGGAAATGCCAGGTTGGCGCAATTCCAGCCTTGGGAGGTAGAAGCAAGAACCCCAGAGCGAGCTGGCTGGCATGACTCTCCACATCTGCCTGGAGAGAGGGCTCAGCAGTTATGAGTGCACACCACTCTTGCAGAGGACCCACGTTTGCTTCCCAGCACCCGGATAAGACGGTTCACAATCTGCTGTAACTCCAGCTCAGGAGGGATCCGATGCCTCGGGCCTCCTCAGGCTCCTTCAGCCATAAATCATGCTCGTAACCACCACCCGCCATACACATAGTCAGAAATAATAAATTTAAATTTTAAAGGAAGACTACCCATGTGGACGAACTCTGGGTTTGATTGAGGGACCTTGACTCAGTGATTAGGTGGACGACTGACCAAGAGTGTCCCGTGGCATCGGTTTTGAGCTTCACACGCATGTGCATGCATTGAACACACACAAGGGAGCGCATGTGCATACACCCACATATTAAAACACAAAGACAGCAGCAGCAGCATCAGTGAGACATGTTCACGGTGTTTTCAGTACCAGGGGTGAAGCCTGGGCTTTGCACATGCAAGGCAGGCAGGCACTGATCTGCGTTCCAGCCACACCCTCATACCCATTCCTGTCCACAGCGCATCTACACTTCCCCTAACAAGTCAGTCTACAAAGGGAGGCTTAAGGGTTTATTCCTGAGTATTTCTCAAGCGGACTTTTGCTTTGTTTGGGACAAGGTAGCTCTGGCTGGCCTTGAATTGACGAGGATCTGCTTGCCTTCTGTCTCCTGTGCTTCCAAGCCCAGCTTCATTTCTGAATATTTCCAAACACTGTTGATCACTGATAGAACAGACCAAGAGTCTTATGACAGATTTTAAAAGTGATGTTTTTTTTTTTAAGGCATACATGATTTCTCTAAAATTATGAGACAAAACACATTGAAAATGGCTAAGTTTTTAAAAGTTCACTTTTGTTGTAAGTAGTATGTGTGTACCCACCTTTGGGGCATGCATTCTCTATTGGCCCTGACTAGAGTACAGAGTGGAAACTGGTTTGTAAACACTGCTTATGTAAAGCACCTGGAGGCCTCATATTAGTAACAGCTAACGTGTTAGCATGAGACTCCTGTTCTCCAATCATCAAGGATTGAACTGCAGTTTTATTTCTATTTTTTGGCAGTGTGAATACTGGGTCATCTTGGAATCAAGTACAACATTCAAAGACTTCTTCAGGAAAAAGGCAGAGTAGATCCCAAGGACCCCAGGTCTCTTCCCACCTGGGAAGCAGCCTGCTTGGTGTCTCCCGGCCCTCAGCGGATAAGCTCATGGGAACCATTTCCACTGAGGGACGACCGGAGCCGACCATGCTGGGCCCCAGGTGCCAGGCTGCCTCGGGAAGCAAGCTGTTCCTTGACTTTCAGTGCATGAAGATCATTAAGGAAGGTGCTGATGAGGACAGTGCAAGTGACCTTTCGGACTCAGAAAGAGTGGCCATTCCTCCTTCTCCATTCACGCCTCCTGACCTCAACCTGCGAGCAGAAGAGATAGACCCAGTTTCCTTCAATCTTCACCCAGACCCGAGCCAGGCAGAACCTGAACACTGCTACCCCGACTTTCTCCCACCCCCTTTCAGCTCCTGGGACCTCCAGGACATGGCTGTGGTCATGAACACAGAGTGCAGGAGCGAGGCCCTGCCTCGGGCCACGGGGCTCCTTGGGAAGTACATAGACAGACTCCTTCAGTTGGAATGGCTGCAGGTCCAAACTGTGCAGTGTGAGAAGGCCCGAGCAGCGAAGGCAAGGCCCCCTGGGGCCTCTGGGATGCTGAAAAGCCCCAGGCGGGGTAAGCTCCTCCCCAGTGTGCTCTCCAAGCCTGTATTGTCCCCTGAAGGAATCCCAAAGCCAGGCCCTTCTAGAAAGAAAGCTTTGCACCATGAAGAAGCCCACCCATCCTACTACACATTTGAGACTTCACCTAGATCTGTGGATGGGCCTGGTGGCCCCAGGCTGTGTTCTCAGAAACAAGCCCCTGAATTGAGGATGGAAAAGAAGAAGAAATCAAGCAAGGCCCCTAAGCTTCACCTCCATGCTCCGCCCCGCGCCGAGGGCAACCCTGCCATGGAAGCCAACGGGAACATCCGAATTCCCAAGCAGTCCACAGTACTTCTGGACACAGTGGACTCCTGTGGGGCCTCCAGGACACAAGCACACGCAGACCTGAAGAAAAAGGGAAATACCTGTGGCCTCACCTCTTCATCCAGTGAGAAAAAACTCAAAACGAATGGAGGGAAGCAAAGCGCATATAAGTTAAAGTGACACTTGAGGCTAAAAAAATCACCGAGTCCCGCAGGTGTCTGGAAGTGGGGCCTCTCCCCAAAGTGACAGAGAATTGTAATCTAATTGTGGAGACCTACTCAAGTAGCCGCCTGGCTCTCCAGTCACCCCAGCAGTAAGGCTCAGTAAGGCTGTTCTTGGCATGCAGTCTTAGGTTTCTGAGGGACCTAACGGTAAAAGTTAACTCACGTGTCTATGACACAAAGGATTGAAACAGCGGTGTCAGTGCATGGCCCCTGTCTCCGGAGTACAGGAAGCAGTCTCTGTCTCAGAAACGCTACTGTCTCACAGAGGAAAGGCTCTGGCTCACTGCCTCTTGGTTTTGCATAAACCGTCAAGCAGAGTTTCTGCTGCTGAATCTTTCATCTGCTGCCCACCCTCCTCCAGCCTCAGTTCCACTGCAGTGAGGGATCACATGAGTTTCTATTTTGAGTCATTTATCTGAGTCCGTTCCTTGCCAGAGGCAAAGGCATCTAGACCGTCTATCTCTCACATTTTAAAAGGCATTTTAAGTGCAGGGGTAGTGCTGAAGCCCATTTCTGAGTTCTCTTAACAGAAGTTAAAATCATTGGTAGCTTTTCCAGAGGGAAAGTCGGCAGCCTAACTGTGGTTGCTGGTGTCTGATGAGGCAAGAAAGAATGCCCTGGCACCTTAGACCTTTGGGTAACCATGAGCAGTTTGGGGGAATACTCAAATGTAAGTTGTCACATTGCCAACTAGGGTAATTTGTTGTGTTGGTTCGAAAGTAATGGTCTATTTCTATTTGCAGGAACAGGGTTTCTAATCATGCCTGGGGAGGGAGCAGACACATTTGCTGTGTGTCTGTCTATGCATGTATGAGTGTGTGCATCTGGATACTGTCCTGAGTGTTCTTATCTGCTGTGGCTTCCTGGCTGTCCATCCGAGTCTTACCTACCTGGGGAGCTTTTCATGCATGCCTTTCTGCAAACCTTTTCTTGGCTGCTGCTTCTCAGGCAGTGAAACAATTATTGGACTTGTTTTGGGCATCCATGATTCCACTGTTTTGTTTTGTTTTTTTTTTTGTTGTTGTTGTTGTTGTTGTTGTTGTTTGGTTGGTTGGTTGGTTGGTTTTGTTTTGCCTTTAGGGAAAAGGACATTTAGAACTATTGAATTGGGCATCCATGATTCCACTGCTTTTTTGTTGTTGTTGTTGTTGTTTTGTTTTGTTTTTGCCTTTAGGGAAAAGGACATTTGGAAGTCCACACAATCTCACTTGCCATCAGTATCAGCAGAAGGGTGAGAGGGAATTATCCATAAAACCAGCTGCTGAGGTCAAATGTCGGGTTCTTTGTAAGACCTGATGTCAGCCATATCGAACAACACATACACTATTTATCTCCAATCTTTTTCTTTGAGGGCTTCATTTTCAGGTTCTTTTTTTGCCCTGCCCTCGTGGAGAAAGCACATTCTTGCCTGGCAGTCTCATGGCTTGTTTGTTTGTTTGTTTGTTTGTTTTCAATCAGGGTTTCTTTGTGTAGCCCTGGGTGGCCTGGAACTTACTTTGTAGACCAGGCTGGCCTGGAACTCACAGAGATCCTCCTGTGTCTGCCTCCCTGTGCTGAAATTAAAGGCATGCTCAACCTGCCCCAGCTACTCATGCCTTTTTTCTGCGGCCAAAATACGTACAATTTGCAGGTAACCTACAGACGCACTGTCCACATTTGCCCGTGGTATGCACTTTGTTTTGAGAGGACAGTGGCACTCCTCACCCTCTTCCGGCCCCTGGGTGAGCACAGACAATTTGAACCTTCTCTTATTCCTTCTGGAGGTTTTTATGCAGGTCTTTTAGGATGCTTCAGGGCCAGTAAGTGAGAACATAGCTTGTATACACATGGTACTTACATGCTCCTTGGAGTGGAACTAACAGGGCCCCCTTTTCTGTCACATGCCTGTGTGGGTGCTCTTAGAGACCCTGACACCAGAGAAGCTTTCTTTCCCGTGTGGATGTGTGTCTGAGCTGAAACTCATGCCTCATGCATTTGTTCCCAGCACTCTCAATGGAAGTTGACTCCTGGCCTGGGGACGGGAATTCCTGCTGTCTGTTTAGATGGCTCTAGCAGCCTGAGGAGGTGACTTTGTCTACCTCTTTGCCCAAGCTGATCGTCCATGTTAAACAGTATTATTGGATGGGTTCTCTTGAGTGATGCAGTTTGTTACGGTTATATTGACTGCAGTTAATATATCTCAGGCAGACAAGTGGATAGCGTTGGATGCTGACCTGTGAACTCATCCAGGTCAAGGCCAAACCAGACTATCAGGCCACAGTGACAAATCAGTGTACCTCAGGAAGCACCTCTCATGTGGGAGACGTTTACGTAGCCCTTGGATCCAGTCACACCGGTGAGTGGAGAAAGACCTCAAAGCACTGTAGTAGGTCGTCACTGATGGCTTGGCTTTGGGCTTTCCCGGGTGACCTTTAACTGACCTAAGGTTATAGAGTCCCTGGCTGCCCCAGCCTGTGGGGAGGGAGAAGGGAGACACCACTGGTCTTCGCGGAAAAGGAGGGTTTGTTCTGATCCTTTGTCCTCTTGGGGTCATGTTCTAGAAAGACCTAAGAGCAGCTCTTACATGGCCTACACATTTGTTTTTCGTTCTTATACTCGAACAGGTAGGTAGACGTCTGAGCCCCTGGTGGTACTGTATTCGGGGTGACAGTAGTAGTTATTGTCCTGTGTAAAGTGGCCTGAATCTACTCAGTGTGTTCATTTGCTGTTGTACTGCTGTATGTTTGATTTTGTATGTTTTTGTGGACTTGAACTTTCCCTTCCCTGAGACTAATTAAACAGAACACGTACCTGGATTTTCCCGGCTCGGTGTGGTTTCTGTTGCTCCTTTAGTGCAGTCATCCTTCCAGTTTGTCTTTACTTTCTCTGCTGAGCATGGGATTCTGTTACCCTGCCCCTCCCTCGTGCTGACTCTGTTGAGAAGCAAGCATAACTGTTTCCGCTGCTTCGTGCATCAGACACACAGCTGTGAGTGGCTGAATGGTTGTTGGGGGGTTGGCAGGTGAGGAACAGGGTGCAGATTCGTTCGCTGTGCGCTGTGCAGGGCTAACCTCCCTGCCGTCACCTTCCTGAATTCAGCTGTGCCCACTCACAGAGACCCAACAGCTGTGCTGATTGACTCCGGACTTTCCCCCATGGAAGGAGGGTGAGGAGGGTCATGGGACCCTCACTGCAGGAGCCAGACAATCCTAACCACGTGTATGCAATTCCGCCCCAGTTGTACTTGGCTTGTGGGGAAGGCTAGACCGTACCGGTTGGGAAGGAGAGGGGAAAGGTTCCATCTGTACCCCATGGTTGGGAGGATAGCCCACGCTGGGTGAAGACCTTCCAATGCAACTGCTTTAAGGCCACAGACACTATTGCCCGCAACCACCATCATCCTGTAAGGAAGCCTAATAAACTCATTGGTCCTTCTGAGTGAACTCTGGTGGGATCCTATCTTGGTTTATCGTTGGAACTTTGGGGGAGGAATTTTCGCCACTGTGGCACAGTGAGTTTACCTGACACATTCTGGAAGGGAGTCGGCTTTTGAGGGACTTCCTGGGAAAGAGGGTGGAAGGCTACAATCCTTCCCAGGGGTCTTTGCACCTCTTAGTGAGAGCCTCTGGGGATGCCAAACTGTGGCAGTCGTGGTGGTGGGTTAGAAGTGGTTCTCTGATATTAGCCAAGTTAACCAAGTTGGAGATATAAAATCCAGACTTAGGTTGCCCATGCATGGCCATTATTTTAGCAGTTGCCACCCGACCATCCACTAGGTGGCAACCAAACCTTTTGAGACCCTGGTGAATCTCTTGTTAGTATTTTCTGATGGAGCAAACATTTTAACTAAGGTCAAAAGAGAATGGGAGAGAAAGGGACTGTTTGGCTTCTGACACAAAGCAGGTTCTTCACTTGCATCTGCCTCCAGAGACTAAATGAACTGTTAGGTGTGGTTAACTACAGTGGAGGATTCCCTGGTGTGCTGGAATGTTCTCTAATCACAAGCCCCGCCCAGCAGATGTGAAATAATGTAAGCCATTTATAAGATCTTCCTAGAAAACCTACTTCCATACAATATCACTCAATACACTCAATATGCGCACCCTTATCCATTCAATAGTTAAGTGGTTAGCAATAACAACGCCATAAATACACAGGGAAATGTTTAAAGGGATCCCTGTGAAGGCAACTGGGAAGCTTGAATATTGTAAACTCATGGGCTCAGGAAGTGACTCCCTGAAGTGGGGTGCCTTGGTGTTCTAACTGTTGTAGAGGAAAGGGGTTCCTAAACAAGACCTTTCTGACCGACTCCACACCTCTTCTCCCCACCATACCCTCAAGGTGAGCCATGAAAAGTAGAACCAAAAAGCATCTGGGGAGCCATGAGTATTTCCCACCCCCTCTACTGCCCTTCTGTGCAAGGACTGGCCCAGAAGATGATGTCTCCTGTCCTTAGGACATCAAAGACAGATACAGACATTTCTGCATAAACCCATGCATGGGCTTCCTTCCACTGGGCCCTTCCTGGGGGCTTCTGTTTCCTGTGTGTGCCCTGACCCTTCCTGGGTGACCACAGGATCACACATTTCTGCTTCTCTGGGGAAAGCAGTAACAAATGTGTCACAGTAGCTACTGTTAAGCCCTGGAGTTTCATGCCATTCACACTGTGAACCTCCCAAGACTGTCTGCATTTTAATAAAAGCCTTGAAACAATGAAGTGTGAGAATCCCGCCTCTCTGGTGCTTAGGTTTGAGTTGCTGCTCTTGTAGACGATCTGGGTTTGAATCCTAACACCAAGGTGGGGGCTCATGATTGTAACTCCAGGAGAACAGATCTGATGGGAGATGTCATTCTGGAAATATGTTTCTCTTATTGGTTAATGAATAAAGTGCTGTTGGCCAATAGGAAGGCAAGATAGGCAGGACTAGGAAACAAGGAGGATTCTGGGAGATGTAGTAGAGGAGAGTCAAGATGTAGAGACTTGATAGAAGAAGTCACGACCCTCTCTCCAGTAAGATAAGACCACATGGAAACACTTAAATTGATAAAAATGGGTTAATATTTAAGACAGAGCTAGCCAATAAGAAATGCTAGTAACTGGCCAACAGCTTTATATCTAATACAGCATCTCACTGTGTTACTTGAGGCTCACATGGCTCTGGGACCAGGCTGGTGGCAAACTGCTGATAACAAAACGGTGCTTACAACATGTGCACTA